CGAGGCGCGCGTTTCCACACCTGGATAAGCCCGCTGAGGACGCCGAAGAGCCAGTGCTTGCTGTACACCGTGCTCCCTATGCAGTCGCCCCCGGCCGCCTCCTCGTCGTCCTCGTCCCGGGTCGGCGGCGGCGGCGACGGGTTGCGGTCCATGATCCGGCCGCTACGGGCTTGGAGGAGCCGCGCCGGAAGCCGCCGGAGGAGGCGAGAGGCCTCCTGGCGCCAGAGGGCCCGGCCCGCTCTCGCCACAGCGCCCCCTGCTGCCCAGAGCCCTGCCGGCCCGAGCGCCCGCCCGATCTTACCGCCGGGCAGGGGAGCCCAAGGACTCCATCTCCCGCGCTCCTAGGGCGCAGGCCTGACCGTATTCATGATTGCCATTGGCCACCCTCCCTGGACCTTATATTTCCTCCCCCCCACATACTCTGTGCTGGACTGGACAGGATGTGTTCATTTTGCCACATGACCTCTGCACCTATGAGTCACCACAGTAGGCAGTGAGAGCACACCTGGAGGCCATGCCTACCCCAGGATGGTGACCAACAACGCAGTTATACTAGGAAGTGACTGCAAACCATATAAATGTCCCACTAAATGCAAACAAATTGTATTCCCAACTCAACTTCTCCTTAGTCAGATCCCTAAAAGGCCTGTGACCACCCCAGTGGTCACTCAACACAAAGACAAACGTGATGATGGGATTTGGAATGGACAGAGTCGGAGGCATTAACTGCTTGAAGTTAAAATATTGTACTTTTTTGGACTTTACAAAGGTGTTCAACCATGTGAACACTTTTTTTAGAACCCTTCCCAGGGTCTTGGGTTGGTGCCATATAAGTGGAGAGCCATTGAAGCTTAAGCTTTATCAGCTTCACAGTAAATCTGACTCTGCCTACATGCATGTCTGATAGGACATTACAAAAGTCATGCAGAATGCAGGATGATTGCAGCACTGTCCTGTAAATTGTAAGATTTAATGGATGGCCCATCCACTAAATGCCCCCATAATTGTGCCAACCAAAAATGTCCCCAGAGATATCCAAAAGCTGCAGTGGGAATGGGGCTGGGTGCAATGCTGTCCTTCTTGAGAACTAAGATCTAGGTCTCTCTCTGTCCCCAAGACTGGCAAGTTTGGGGAGGAACTCTGCTCATGCCATTCTCTAAGGAAATGGCTACAGTTGCTTTGTCACAATGATGTAATCTCCCCCAAATTGCTACTTGCTTTTTTCTCAGCCCTTTATTACCTCTGCTCCCCATATGGATTTACCCCCAGAGACTTGTTGTGAGGATCAACTGGGATAGTACATGGAATACACTCATTGAAAGAATGACTAAGTGAACTAATATATGTAAGAATGTTTTATAAGCTTAAACTTCAATACAAATTCAAGTAATAGCAAATGGTTAAGAATGATAGTTCTAGCATCAAACTAGCAATGTGACTTGAATATACATTTTAACAGTTTTGCCTCAAGTTTCCTCAGCTATAAAATGTGAAGATCCCATGGGATAACACAAGAAAACACTTAGAGAAGTATCGGGTCCATAGTTAATTTGCTGAATATTAACTGTCATATCATAAACATCCCACTACTACTAACTGATATTAAGAGAACTTTAAAAACAAGCAGCAAGAGGACTAAGATATAAAACACTAACTGACAAGGATGGGTATAAATTTTCAAGAAGGCATGAGCAAAGTACTATGGAGGCATTTACTGATAAGGTTAAGGGTTTAGGGGCTGACAGAAATGTACACTGAGGCCTGGACACTGAAAGGCCTGGTAATAGCAATGTAACCAGAGGGGCCTGGAGAAGAGCAGGTCTGACTCAGGGAATGGTTGGGGCAGGGCATCTGCCCGGTGTGATCCTGAGATTATATCCCCTACACCCAAAAGCACAGGCACAGGCTTGGCCTTCATTTGAGTGTTCATCCATCATCCCTCGGTACTAAGAGACCATCCTTATAGCAAAGAATAACACACAGTTTTTAATATTCAATCTCTTAAGCATTTATTACGCATACATTATATGTCCTCCCTCAGCATTGGGGGATATAGAACTCAATGACTCAGTGTCCCTGCCCTCAGGGGGCTCACGGCCCCATCTCCTGAAAGCAGAGAGACAGAGCTTAGTACTTGCTGGGCAGGCCAGCAGGTCTGAAGTGGTTGGGGTCTTTGCCACTCCGGCCCCATTCATTGGCTTTCTGGTCAGCCCTGGAGTCCTCCACTCCATGGCCACTGTTTCCATACTTAAAAAGGTCAGTGAATCTCTGAGCACCCTCTCTGGCGTCACTGGAATGGAAGAGAGCAGGTAGGAGGTGAATCAGGGGCTGATGAGGAATAGCCCCACCCTCCCAACACTGCCCTTTCCAAGGGACTGGTGACTCCGAGAGGAGCCTGGAAAGAAGCTAAACACTGAGCCCACCTGGGCACAGCCCACTCAGCCCTGGGGTGACTCCCCCTCTTACTGGGAGAACAGCACCGAGTGGAGGGTGGGAATCACCTATTCCACAAGCCTTGCTCTGACTCTATCAGAGCCCACACTGGACATAGAAGGGCAGGCTTGGCAAGAGGAGGAGGAACCAGTCTCCATAGGAAATTTCTGTGCCAGGCCACCAAGCTCTGCTCACCCCAGGAGCCTGGTTACCTGATCACTTTAGCAGCCCAGGCGCCCCCAGGTCCCCTACGTGCAGCATCATAGTTCCCTCGCGCATGAAAGTATTTGTCTGAGTTTTTGTAATTGGCTTCTCTCATGTCAGAGTAGGCTCTCCACATGTCTTTAGTCCCTAGGAAGGAAGGAAAATGTGAGATGAAGATAATCACATCTTGGCATAGTAAAGGAATAAAAAAGTTCCCTCTCACTGATTCCAAGATTTCACTCATGGAAAAGCCCTTGGAGACTGTACTGTCATGAAATAAATATTTCTTTATTTTTTACTTCTTTAGGTTAATGTTATGAAATTACACTTCATGCACATTTAATTCTGTTTGACTCCATTCTAAGTTCTGTTGCTACTTTGGTTTTGGCTGTATGATGCATGTAAAGAAGGGGTGAGATGGTCTTTAAGGGACGTTTGGTTGTACAAGGAACCTCCACCTGGAAAGATGCAGGGAGCCCCCTGACTGGGTGTGAGAGCAAAGGTGATTCTGAGGGAGGTTCAGAAGCACACAGCTCCCAACCTAGCCAATGGGGGGCATTCATCCTTGTGGGCAAAGGGAAGACAACTTGCCCTGAGTACATCTGAATGTCTGAGCACATTTGGTACCTGGGCAACTGTCAGAGCTCAATCAACAGGTGATAAAAGTGAGTTCCCTAAGAGACTTTACAGAAATGGGGTAACAGATGCAGAGCAAGGGCAAGTGACTCAGCAGCTGTGAAGTTCAGTGTCCTCTCAATAAAATGGGGGAGTATTGCTTCCATCAGAGTGGTTACGCAGAAGAACTGAGAAAATACTGTATAATGTCAAGAACACTGTAGGTGGACAATATACTATCACTTTACTTCTCTGGTCCTTGACGGTGGGGGTGGAGGCTAAAGGAAGAGAAAGAATGAAGTAAGATGAGCAGGGAGTCACAGACAGAATGAATTTGATCAAACCAAAATTAAACAGCAAATGCCCTGGTAGGTGTGGCTCCGTTGGTTGAGAGTTGTCCTGTGCATCAAAAGGCCATTGGTTTGATTTCCAGTCAAGGCACATGCCCAGGTTGCAGGCTCAGTCCCCAGTAGGGGGTGTGCAGGAGGCAACCGATCCATGTTTCTCTCTCACATCAATATTTCTCTCTCTCTCTCTCCTGTTCCCTTTCTCTCTCTCTAAAATCAATTTTAAAATGTTTAAATTAAATTAAATGGCAAAAAATCAATAACTTATTAGGAAAAGAGAAAAATGTACTGTGGAGTTATAATCATGGTTTATATAATTGCTCCATGAGATAACTGATCTTCATTTTATATATGTCATTTTGGTTATTAGAAAAGACAGTTTTGTTGAAACCTAGTTTTGTTGTGACATTCTCACTGTTCTTATACACCCTGAGTTACTAAGTCAAACAGACCCTTGTCGTCCAGACTTGCATAACAGGTACTGTGAATGTATCTGGCATATTTTATCATCTAGGAGCAGCAAACCGAAGACAGTGGTTCTCAAACTTTGGTGTGCACAAAATCATCTGGGTGCTTAATAAAGGTCAGGTTTTACGCTCAGTCCCAGAAATTGTGGTTCAGTGGACCCAGTTATCTGCATTTCACAAAGCCCCCCCCAGACCCTATATGATTCTCATGCAACTGGTCCTAGAACAACCCTTTGAAAAACACTGACCTAAGAGATGAAAATATACTTTTAGCTGGCTCTATGAGAATTTAGATAGAGTTAACAGCAAACTCTTAAGACAATTACTCAGAGGCTATGACAGAAAAAAAATGCAAACTAATTCTGTGAAATAAACAAAATTTTGCCTCTTTACTATGGCTAGTGAGGTATATATGTCTAGCTATGGTTTTCTGGTTAGATCTCAGCCCCAGGGGAACCATCATCAGGCACTGTAGGGAGAGGATCTCTACAGAGTTGTCTTTCAAAGGCACCTCATCCCCGCTATTAGCAGTTTGCTCAGATAAGGGACAGAATATGTGTTCACAAATCCCTCACTCTTCCATGCACAATCTTGTCTGGGAGACAATCTAGTATAGTGGTCAATAGCAAGGTCTGGGAATCTCAACAACCTAGATTAAATCTTGCTCTACTTGGAGACTTTGTTAAGTATCTTAATCTCTGTGCCTCAGTTTCTCTGTTAAGAGATAATGATATCCACGTCGCAGGACTAAAAGATTAAAACATGAGGATGAAAACGAGCGTATTTGCACATGAAAAACATTTAGAACAGTGCCCAGCAGGTATTAAAGCTCTGTTAATCTTGGTTGTAATAACGAAGTGGTTGGGGAGTGTGGTGCTCCCCACACCTTGGATACACCCACTTTGTGCCTGAGGGAAAAGAAATGAGCTGCCCCTGATTGCCATTAGAGGGCAGTAAAGCACAACTTATATTTAGGGAGGTGCCTCTGAACTCCAGATCCCTCCATCCTTCTTGAAAATTGGGAGACAAACCTTATGTGCTCTCTGGCCTCAGGGTTCCAACAAAAGAGTGCAGAGTGTGTCCAGAAAATCCTATGGAACACCTACCACAAAAACAGCCTTCTCTTTCTACCCACTTGTGACCTTTCCTTGTGGGAATGTGGCCTCTGCTCAGGTGAAACCTGGGTGGGGCCTGAAGCACCCTCCTCAAAACCCATTCATTGATCTTTACCTTGACCAGCTTCCCTCAAGAATGATCTCCATCTTTGGCTGCTGACACCCAGGATCAGGGTGCAGAAAATGATGACTGTGGAAAACTTCATCCTGAGGCAGAGAGTCAAGCAGACACAACCAAGCATGAAACCATTTTGTCTCTCTTTTCTTGTTGTAATGTTGACCTATCCTAGCATTCCAAAAATAAGTTGCACTCAATTTTATACTTCTGTAGCAATATCTGTATCTGCCTATTCATATGTATAAATGGATAGACTGTAGTTCAGAGAATCCAGTTCTACATTTTCATCCGACTTATTAAAATCACAGTGATTCCCTGTATCAGATAGTGCAACGGGCTTTTGTACAAACCAATTTCCATTTCAGTTATCCCCTGTCAGCCCTGAAACCCAACTGGACAGGAATTGTCCAAAAGGCATTTGGAAGTTTTATGACGGCTCTACCTCTCTGTCGTGTGAGATGAGTTAAACAATCCATAAATATGGACCCTGGCTGGTGTGACTCAGTGGTTAGAGCATCAGCCAGCACACCAAAGGGTCATGGGTTCGATCCCCAGCCCTGATTGGGGCGTGTGCGGGAAGCAACTAATTGATGCGTCTCTCACATCGATATTTCCCTCTTTCTTTTCCCCTCCCTGCCTCCCTCCCTCCCTTCCGTTCTCTCTAAAAATCAATGGGAAAAATATCTCAGGTGAGGATTAACAGAAACAAAACAAAACAACCCCACCGGCATGGCTCAGAGGTTGAGCATCGACCTAGGGTCTAGGAGATCCAGGTTCGATTCCTGGTCAGGGCACAGGCCCGGGTATTGGGCTCGATCCCCAGTCGGGGGCCTGCAGGAGGCAGCCCATCAATGACTCTCTTGTCATTGATGTTTCTCTCTCTCTCCATCTCTTGGAAATCAATAAAAATACATTTAAAAAAAAATTTTGTAGGATACCTGCTCTACCATCACTACTCAGACAGAGAAGCACACGACAAAAATCTCTACCCCAAAAGTATTCCCATCTGGTGAAATCTAATGGTCAGAACAGGAGATTCAGGAAAGATGCAGAGAGCTGTGGTGCAGCACAAGAATGCTGGTGGGAAAAAGAATCTCCAAAGAGGAAAAGTGTTGGAAAGTTCCAGCAGCTCACCTTGGCTGTTTGGTCCTGCCGAGGCTCCTGGTGAAGCTGGGCTGCCTGTATTGCCTGCCTGGGAGATGTGCCGGGTGCTATATATACTGACGCTTTGCTAGTGGGACAAATGAGAAGAAAGGTTTGAAGCCAAACATTGAGATGTGGGAAATTCCTGTTGGTCAGAAACCAGCTTCCGGAACATGATGGTTATTTTTCATATCATCTAAGTTTCCCAGGTTGTGCAACCTGGCAGCTTTCAGGGGTGTAGCAAATTGGGATTTCCTGCCCACTTGCAGTCTCCCACCTGGTGGGGAAGGTTTATTTTCCCTACACAAAAAAGCACTGACATTTGCTGTGAAGGGTAATCAATATTTTAAAAAGATTTGATTGAAGAATGTGAAAATACAGGGCAAGTGGAACAGCAGAATGGGCTCCATTGCAAGGGGACAGCTCAGGAGGAAGCTGGGACCCAGGGTGCAGGAGGAAAGGAAGGGCAAGACTACCCAGAAAAAGAAAACCTCTAACACCCATGAGGCATGGACTCTGCACTGAAAGAGGGAGTCCTCCAGACTCAAGTGTCTGTGCTCACTTGCTATGGAAGGTCATGATGGCAGGTTATACATGAGGTTACTGTAATCCGTGAGTGTTGAACTTTAGGGGAGAAATTTGCTGTAACGTTGTGTAGAAATGACACACAAGACATAGTGACAATCTCTGAGGTCTGTTTTTTTTGTTGTAGTTGTTATAAAAACTGCTTTGTTAGGAATTACTTTAGTAAATATAGTTTTTATTATCCCATGTGCTGTTCTTGCAGCTGCAAGAACAAAGTGAACATTTTCTCTTTTTTATCTTGAGGAAATTTCTTTTACCAGACATTAGTCGGGGTTATTGTTTTCAAGGTCAGGTGCTGAAACCATATGGTTAGCGCTCAAAGATAAGCAGGCCTGAGAGGAAACAGAATCTACAGAAAAGAAGAGGTTAGAGAAGGGTTACAAACAGAAGGGATATGGGCCGTGGAAATGAGCGGCATCCTTTCCCTTTTATCTTGCATTATAAACTTTTACATGTGACCTTGGCCCACTTATCAATTTTTATTTTATTGTAACCTGTATTAATTTGGATGCATTATTTATGTATATGCATGTGTTTGCACCTTTAGTGTTGCTCGGGGTTTATGTATGTGGGAGAGGCATACACATGTAAACTATATTATGAATAGACATGTTTTTCTTTATCTCAACATTGGAATCCCAGTCAAGACAGGAACTAGGTTGTTGGTTTTTGCACCATTCATTATCAGTGCTTAGAAAAATGCCTAAAACATAGGCTCAATGAATGAACAGGTTCTTAGCTGAAGGCTCAGGTTGCCTGAAGAAAACTTGCAAAGTATAAAATAAGTATAAACACTTAAAAAAAAAAAAAAAAGCAGTGCTAATTTCATCAGCCTAGATGGGGGAGGTGGTGGGGAGAGCTTCTATTTGGCCCCCAGCCTATTTTCTAAGTGTGTGTACATTTATGAATATGTGAAGACAGGGGATATAATACCTCCCATTTTATGTTCTGCCTTTTCACTTAACAACTTCTCATGATCATTTGTCCAGGTTCCGACCCATACTGCCACAAAGCTGGCAGCAAAACGGGTTCAGACCTGGCCTGTTAGGATTGAGCATGTGGCTTCTTCGCCATCTGCTGTACAACTGCCATCTGAGCTTGGCAGCAGTAGAGCACATAAGCAAATAAATGTACATTGTAATGTAATTCGATTATGTTCAGTACTTACTAGCTTAATAAGAACTCTCCCAGTGGAGTGTTACTGGCCTGCGAGCACTGATCTTATCTGATTCCTTGCTGTGTTTTCAGGACCTAGCACCATTGCTGCCACATACTGGGGGTTCGGTAAACAGGTGTTGGATAAGTGAATGAATGCATGAACAAGTTTTGCAAACATCTTTATCACAAAGGAAAAGAGGCCGTGGTTTTAAAAGGTACTGTGTTAGCCCTGGCCGGTGTGGCTCAGTTGGTTTGGTGTGGTCCAGTGCACCGAGAGGTCACCAGTTCAATTACCGGTCTGGGCACACGGCCGGGTTGTGGGCTTGATCCGAAGGGCATACAGGAAGCAGCCAATTAATGGTTCTCTCATTGATGTCTCTCTCTTCCTCTCCCTTCCCCTCTCTCTGTAAAGTAAATAAAAACATATTTACAATAAATAAATAAATAAAAATAAAAGGTTCTGTTTTAGACTAATTGGACAGTTCTAAGTTGAGGTCGGCAGGGGAGTAAAGGAAGATGGCAGTGCATTGGGGCTCCCTCCCAGGTAAGATTGTTCAGGAACAACGCTCACTGGCACAACCTGCAGGTCTTGTCAATGTTCCCAACTCTTTCAGCAAAGGAGCAAGTTGGCCTTTGATGGGAGGTTTTGCAAACATGTTTTAAATGGTGTGGTTTGACAGGAGTCCATAAAAAATGAATTTGTGTGTAAACCAAGCATGCTTTTCTCAGAGAGGACCTGGATTTTGTCCCACAATTAGAAGTGGAATCTGGGAAATTAAAATATTGTGAAAGGGCTCCCTTTGCACCCAAGTTCAAATGCAGGCTGTTTGTGATGCATTTTTCCTGTGGCCCACAGCCGAGGACAGAGACTCCAAGTATCCACATCTGAGAGAGAGCATCCAAGAAACAGACAGATCTCTTGAGCCCAGTGCTGACAAAGGGGTGGCCATTCAGGCCTTCACAGCCACCACCTCCTCATCTCACCCCACCTCTGGTCCAGAGAGGAGGGGCCTGAGGAGGACGGTCAGAGGGCAGGATGGCAGTCTTGTGGAAGTACAGTGTTTTTAGAGATAGATGAATTCCTCAAACAGGTTCTGGGTGCCAGGAAGAAAACAAAAACATCTTTTTAGTCTTGAGCTGGGTGCATGCTGAGCTGCAAAGATGCCAGCATTGTGGTGGCCTGTCAAAGCAGAGGGGAGCATGGTGAGGGAGCTGGGGAGAGTTGACATGGGTGGGACCCGGTGAACTTTCTGGCTGCTTCTCACCTAAGGGTTTCTGGAAGATGGAGCGGCCCGTGCCAGCAGTTTGAAGAGGCTGTGGTGGAGTGCAGCTAGCAGCAGACGGGGTGAGCTGTTTCCCATCTGTCGTTATCTGCAGTCCTGGCAGAAAGAGAGGAGGCCTTCAGTCATTCCAGGGGGGCCTATTGGAAAGACCACTGAGTTTAGCGTAAAGGCAGTGGCTGGGCCAGGTGAGGTGACACCTTACCTAGAGAAGGGACTTGGAACTGGATCACTGTCAGGACCTGTCGTGGGTATACCTGTTCCCTTGTGTGGAGGTTCCCCATGTCTGAGTGGCTGGTGTGAAGCTGAACTTGACCTTGGAGCACCACTATCACGCTTTATGATTAATAATAGCTCATAGATGATTATTTCCTTTCAGTAAATATAATGAGAGAGAATCTGTATTATGTTTCATCACTTCTAAGACACACATGTCTTGATTATAAATTTCTGAAATTAGAACTTCTCTTACATTCCCTAATGACCAAGCAGCACTAATGAAATTGTCATTGCTTTAGGAAAACTTATACATTTATTTAGTGCAGGCTTTTCTTATTGTTTATATACACAAGAGTGATGTAAAATAAAAATCTATGTCTAAGTAGGCCTGAAAGAATTCAATAAGTGTAAAATAAAAATTTTGAGTGATAAGAAACTGTTATGAAATTGGCAGTATTTTTTTCTTGGTGGTATATAAATAACGAGGTGTCTTTCAGTCCCTGGTGTCTTAAACTCAGAGAATGCAGTATGTCCTTTTCTCCCTCCTCTAGTTTCACAGAGTGTTTTGTGCTAACTTACCCCTCTGATAGCACAGTGGAAATTCCAAATATTTATTGCTCTCTCCCAAGGCTTTTCATTATGTACCATGGTGACTAATAGTTTATTATACTTTAGGGTCTTAATTTTTTTTTTTTAAATGTATCTTTATTGATTTCAGAGAGAGGAAGGGAGAGGGAGAGAGAGCTAGAAACATCAATGATAAGAGAGTCATTGATCTGCTGCAGCCCGCAACCCGGGCATGTGCCCTGACTGGGAATCTAACCCCGATCTCCTGGATCCTAGGTCGATGCTCAACCGCTGAGCCACGCCTGGCTGGGCCCTAATTTTTTTTTCTTTATGAGAGAACATGCAAAGAATTTCTAGAGAAAATAATTTTATATGATAAAATAAAATTATGTTATTTTGGTTTTTACCTTAGATATTTTGGTATGGGTTTACATCGCCACTTTAAAGTGACTCATTACCATGTTCTGAGAATCAAAAATTGTACCAAACATGCATGCTTTCCACAACCCCCAAATCCTCCACCCACATGTCAGCTTCTGAGCTATATTTCTACTTCATTCATTTCAACAAATATTTATTAAGCCTATACTATATGCCAGGTGCTATGATAGGTACTGTGGATACAAGGATGACATACAATAAAGTAGATATGCCTTTTCCCTTGGGCTTCCTGCCTACGTGCCCTAAAGACAGACAAGCAAATGGGCCAACGCAGTGGAGCGTGACAGGTTCAGGGGCATTATGTACAGAAGCAGCAGGTATAGCTGGACTCTTGCAGGCCTCCTGTCCTCCCTCTCAAATGTTCTCATCCCTTGACCTCATTCTCGCCACCTGTTTTTCCTTTCTCAGAACAAGAGACGTTTTTGCTTGTTTTGGGGTTAACCATCCCCTGTGGGCTTAATCCCATTGCCTCTTGCTTCCCCTTGAATCTGGTGCTGTTCCCTGTTCTTTATCTTTAGCATCTCCCTCTTCATTAGCTCCTTCCTGCTCCTTAAACTAGATTGAACTGTTTTGAAAGAAAACCATTTTATTAGTAGCTAATATATTAAATCAATCAATCATTCATTCATTCACTCAATAAGCATTTGTTGAGATCCCATTATATACTAAGTACTGGCATGGTACTGGATATTTATGGGTGAACAAGACAGAAATGGTCACTTCTCTCATAGATTTTTATACTCCAGGGAGAAAGATGGACCAGAAGACAATCTAAACAAAAATAAGAAGAACAACCATGAAATTAATAAAATAATCCCACTTATAGAAATTGTTAAGAAAGAAAGAATACATAGGATAAGCCAGCCAGGGTGATCGGGGAAGGTGTCTCTCGAGAAAGAATGATTTAGGAAAGACCCACAAGGTAAGAGAGGTCCAGCCATGTGCAGAGCAAGCAGAAGAGTGTTCTGGGTAAAGAAAAGGCCATGTGCAAGGCCCTGCAGCAAATAAGAGCTTGACTTTCTGGTGGGATTTGAGAATGGAGAGCATGAGAGGGTATGCCACGAGACGATGCTGAAGAGTTCCAGGGACAGATAACACATGCTGTGCTGTGTAGGCCAAGAAAAGGACTTGGATTTCATTGAAAGGGAAATTGGAATCCATTGAAGGATTTTAATCAAGCATTTTAATAGATGTGATTGGATTATAATTGTATGCTAGACTGAGAGGTAGGTTAACTACATGTTTTGTTTTGCTAAGACATTCTAGTTTATTTCTGTTGTTGGATTGATTATTAATTATGCCCCCTTTTCACTCTGGAAAGTGACTTGGTTTAGATGATGAATTATGTAGTCAACTAGAGTAGTTGGGAAACCATGCAAATGGGGTGACTGGTTAGACAGCTACTGTCTTAAACCAGGTGAGAAATGATGTGGACAGAAGCATGGGTGTACATGGGATAGTGTCAATGACTAGAGATGAATTTTGGAAGTAGGGTCACAGGACTTGCCAGTGGATTGGATATGGGGGTGAAGGGAAGAGAAGCATCAAGCACATTCCCTAATTTCTGGGGTGAGCAATGGAGAGAACGGCCCTGCCATTCACTGAACTGGAGCAGCCTAGTAGGTGAGAGTTCGGTAGAGGAATGAGAGTTCGCTTTGGGACATGTTAAGTCTGAGATCTCTGGAAGCCATCCAATCAGACATGTTAGGAGGCCCACTGGATAGACAAGCATGGAGCTCAGAAACGAGGCTCAAAGATGAAGATATCATTTAAGAGCCATCATATAGATACTATTTACATTTGTTTGAGAGTGTAGAGAAATAAAAAGGGAGAGCCCAGAACAAAGTCTGAGGAAACTTAGAGTTTGGAGGAAATGACGTTGACCCAGCAAAGGAGATAAAAAGTAAAAAGAAAGAGACACCAGGAAAGTGTGGTATTATGAAGCCAAGAGAGAGAATCTTCCAGGAAGGAGAGAGAGGGCAACTATTGAATGTCGATCAGAGGCCTACTGATGAGAAGAGAGAAATATGTAGGTTGTATTTGGCAACATGGAGGTCAAGAGTGACAAGCTATTTAGCTGGAGTGGTGGGGGCAGAGGCCAGGCTGGAGTGGGTTCAAGTGTGAGTCAGAAGTGAGGAACCAGAAAGGGCAGCTTTTTCAAGACATTTGACTTTTAAGAAGAGGAGGAAAACGTGGGAGAGTGAGAGTGAAAAGCAGATCAGTGTCAGGATTTTCAGTGTGCTAATTTATCTAGAAAGGTATTGAGTGCCTGGATTTGGCCTTGTGTGCACAGGGATGGATGAGATGTGCTCCCTGCTGTTTAGCTGGTCAGGCATCTCCAGGCGCAAGTGCTCTCCTGACCGTTTACACCGAGTGCTGGAGATCCAGGAAGGAGGGAGTCTCCGCAGCCAATCCTCTTGGTCTTGTTCAGTTTCTGGAGTGAGGCACAGCAGCTGCAACCCTGGCTCTGCCCCTTTTATAGCCTAAGCATGCAGCTCTAGACCTCAGTTTCTCCAACTGAGAGCTACAAAGACTCTCTACAGCTTAAATCAAATAAGGCAAGTACAGTACAGTGCTGAGATGTGGAAGATGGGAAACAACAAACAGGAAAGAGGTGGGACTTGTGCTTCACTAATAACCCAGAACTAGGATGGAGGACTTCCAACGCATTACAAGACTAGAGGAATTGTGACCAGGACATTAGAAAGAGCAATGGTGACCCAGGATGAAGCAGATCAGGCCAAGATTACACTGGTGTTTGGGAATCCTTGTTTTAGATGTGAGCCTCCAAAATTAGGAGTGATGCCTCTTCCTGGGTCTGGGTCATCTTTTAATTCTTGTAGGTATAATGAGATGAAAGTTGTAGGGCAGATAACTGTCAAGGACTTCCCTGTGCCTTTGGTTCTTAGCCAAAGCAATGCTAAGCAACATTTGGATGTTCCCCACACAACTTCCATTCCTGGGAAAGGTTGGTCCCTGTGGACTGGATAGTCCAGGTGGCTGAGCTGCCTTGCCTCACTTGGTCCTAGGAGTAGATATGGCAGAGAAGGGACAGTTGTCAACCCTGCACAGCCATCGGTCATGGGCTTTCTACCTCTTGCCCCCATGTGGTCTGTGTGCTCAACTGAAGCCCTGGGCAGTTCCCTGCCACGTTTCTTTGGCTCCCCGTGGAGGAGTCATTGTTTGTTAACTCTGGCTTCTGACTCCTGGCAATCTTTATCAGCCATCTGATGGGCTACAGACTTTCCAGCAGATCTAGATCTCAGCCTTGTGTATTCTTTAGCCTCTTAGCAGTGAAATCCTATTATCAGTTAATAATCCTTTGGTTAACATTTCTTTCTTCAAATTACCACCTGGTTTCTGTCTCCTGACTGGACCATAACAGGTAAAAGGTGTCTTCTCTACCCTGCTCTCTCTTCACTACCAATTTCACAATTTTGAGCTAGTTAATATGCAGAAACTGTGAAGGAATATTCACAAGTAAGGTGGTATTAGATATGCATTTAGACTTGAAATGGGGCAATAGAAACACAATGGAGGAAAACTACTTTGGAGGCATTTCTTAGGTGGCATGGACAGAAATTGGTTAATAACTGGATTTGCAGGTATTGCTGAGAAATGAACAAAATACCAGGTGGCAGTTGCTAGAACAGGATCCCATGGTCTAATCCTCCCATGGCTGTGTCCCCTCCCCCCAGACAGAGACCACTGCAAGTCTTAATTTTAAGTGGATTAACACCCTGGGGACAGAGACGGTGACTGGACACAATTGAATAGTAGTTAGGCCTGTACATGATAGGGCCTGAAAGAGCACAAATCAGAGTGGAGAAGCTATGATTTGCAGAAGAGTTGCTGCAAGGTGTCTGCCCGATATGACTTGAGATTGTGTCTCTACACCCAAACACACAGGCACAGGCTTGACCTTCCCATGGATGTCCATCCATCACCCCTTGGAATCAAAGAGTAGTCCTTACACCAAAAATAATGCAGTTTTCAACATTTAATCTCTTAAGCATTTATTACACATTCATTATGTGTTCTCTATCAGAATCTAGGGATGTGGAACTCAATGACTCGGTGTCCCNGCTCTTTCTCAGGGGATATGGAACTCAATGACTCGGTGTCCTTGATCTCATGGGGGTCACAGCCAGTCTGCTGAGAGCAGAGTGAAGCAGCTCAGTACTTGCTGGGCAGGCCAGCAGGTCTATAGCGATTGGGGTCGTTGCCACTCCGTCCCCATCTGTTGGCCTCCTGGTCAGCCATCGAGTCCTCCAAGCCATGGCCACTGTCTCCATACTTAAAAAGGTCAGTAAATCTCTGAAAATCCTCTCTGGCATCGCTAGAATGAGGANCAGAGTGAAGCAGCTCAGTACTTGCTGGGCAGGCCAGCAGGTCTATAGTGATTGGGGTCGTTGCCACTCCGTCCCCATCTGTTGGCCTCCTGGTCAGCCATCGAGTCCTCCAAGCCATGGCCACTGTCTCCATACTTAAAAAGGTCAGTGAATCTCTGAGCACCCTCTCTGGCATCGCTGGAATGAGGGGAGCAGGTTGGAGGTGAATCAGGGGCTAATAAGAAACAGCCCCACCCTCCCAACTCTCCCATTTCCAAGGCATTAATGGCTCTGAAAGGAGACTGGAAAGAGGCTAAACACTGAGCCCACCTGGGCACAGCCCACTCAGCCCTGGGTGACCCCCTGCCACTGGGAGAACAGCACCCAGAGGGGAGGGTGAGAATCAACCCTTGACGCTCAGGTTCTCTTTCTGGGGACAGGCCATCAAGCCATTCTCTGGCTCTGCTAGAAGCCCAGGCCCTGTGCTGGGCAGGGATGGAGAAGGCACACGGGAAGGACATGAGGAGCCACAGCCCTACAGGGTCCTTCTCTAGGGCCCACATCCTCCCGGTCCCCAGGCAGCCAAGCTCTGCTGGACCAGCCTGCATCCCCAGGAGCCTGTTACCTGATCACTTCAGCAGCCCAGACGCCCCCAGGTCCCCTTTGTGCAGCATCATAGTTGCCCCGGGCATGGAAGTATTTGTCTGAGTTTTTGTAGTTGGCTTCTCTCATGTCAGAGTAGGCTCTCCACATGTCTCTGGCCCCTGGGAAGGAAAGGACATGGCACAGAGATGTCAGGTGAAATATCAGAGAACTGTGACACCCCTTAGGGAAGATTCAAGGAAGGAAAATCTACCACTGCCTTAGTGTCAGCCTGTGGTCACAGCCCCCTGGAAACCACAGGTTGAGAAGAACATTCCCCAGGCCCACTTGTCTTCTCTAGGTGACTCTAATGAGAGTCATTCAGGTGGGGACATGGCTGTGTTGTGCCTGGTGGTCTAATGGCTGACATGCTATCTGTGGGCTCCAGCTCACTTAGGCCCCTAGGACATAAGTTTAAAGGAGACAGGGAGGTGCCTTACAGAACAGGATTTCAACTTCAGCACTACTGAAATTTGGTGCCAGAGAATTCCTTGTCCTGGGCCTTCGGAGGACTGTAGGATGTTCACAGCATCCCTGCATCTCTGCCCGCTAGGTGCGGCAGCATATCCCCCGTGAGACAGCCAACATTGGTTCACACCTCGCCACGCCCCGGGCCACCAGATTGCTCAGGATCAAGAACCTCTGGTGTGGAGCGAAGCTACGTATGATAGTGTTCAGCTTACTTGGTGGGTGAGGTGGACACATGGAAAGCAGATTCAGAGTCGGGCACAGACGTACAGCGCTTCTGCCTGCCGCCGAAGAAATGCAGGCTTGCAGACGGAATGCACGTGACTGTGACCTGAGTCCCTCTGAGTGGCAGGGGCATGAGTGGCATCCTGGAAACTTGCTAAGCAGGCTGGACTGAGGCTGTGGGCAAGCAAGCCCTGGAGCAGCGGGCCTGTTTCTCAGCCTGGCTGCACTCTCTCATCGCCTGGGGAGACTGTGAAAGTCGCATGCCACGTCTCAGGCCAATCACCCCAGACTCTCTAGGGGTGGGTCTCAAGCTTCAGCAGTTCTTAGTGCTCTCCATGCTTCTGAATGTAGCTGAGGCTGATAACCACTGAGCTGCAGGAAGCGGTACTCAGACACATCTGCTTGGCAAGAGCTGTGGGCTCACGCACAGCCGGGTTCAAACTCTGCTCTGCCACCTGCTGATTTGCACGTAGTCCCTGGTCAACGGACTCAGCTGCTCTAGTCTTCAAGGTTGGGCAAGAAGCCTGCCTACCAAGTTACTCTCCACGTGGAGTGGGTGACCAGCTGTCCCACCTTGACCAGAACTGTCCCCGTTTGCCTAGAACTGTCCCAGTTAGCACTGGAAGTGTCATGGAAACTCCTCAGACCTGGGCAGACCAGGAGAGTTGGTTGCCCTAAATTGCATGGAAGTGGTGAGCTCCTAGAGGAGGCTCGATGGATGCGACTAGTTCCCGTTTGGTCAGTGCAAAGGCTGGCAAAGGGTAGCAAACAGACTAAAGCAGGGACAGTGTCTCTGACTACAGGAAGCCCCAGCTAGAGCTAAGCTGCAGTTCTCTCAACTGTCCAATTAGGGTTGGAAGGGAGGGAGGAAGCGNAGGGACAGTGTCTCTGACTACAGGAAGCCCCAGCTAGAGCTAAGCTGCAGGTCTCTCAACTGTCCAATTAGGGTTGGAAGGGAGGGAGGAAGCGAGCGAGAGGGAGGGAGAGAGGTGGAGAAGCAGAGATGGAGAGCTTTAATCACACTTTGGGCAGTTGGTCTGAGGGAAGTTTTATACCATTTCAAGACTTACTCTGTCTTCTAGTCAAACTTACCTTCCAGCTGGGAACTGACTATTCTTTCTCTGGTAACTGATTGAAATAAGTCCTGTGGTTTTCCATCTGTTTGATGAAAAGCTCCCCAAACACCTGGCACATTCTACCACATGGGGCAACCCAACTTAGGACAGTAGCCCCAACCCCGAAGGATGCTCAGGGTGAATCCTAGTGGCCATGGGTGCCAACCCCCCTCCAGCAACTTTACCGTCATAAGCCTGGCGCATGAACGAAAGCCAGTCCTGGCTGCTGACTCCCAGGACCAAGGAGCAGAACACGAGGCCTGTGACAAGCTTCATGGTGCTGAAATGAAAGGGGAGGGTCAGGGAGACACGGGCAAGGCTGGCACACCTCCTTTTGGGGTTCATATGTCTCAGAGACAGCCTGGCTGTGCAT